TCGAGCCAGTGCTGCTATTCTCCCAGGCAAGTCCGATACCGATTTGCTGACTCAGGAAGGAGGCTTTAATGGTCTTAGGGCACGGGGATCGATCTCATATGTATTGCAGGGCGCCTTCGACCAGTGCTCTACACGCGCTTCTACTGTGGAATTATGTTCCGATTTTTTGCATAGCCATATAAGGAAAAATTAGATATAATAAAGTAATATTGTGCGTAATACAAGATTTAATAAGTGATATATTATAAGAGAGCACATGTAGCGCAGTAGTTAGAGGGGTGCTCTGGAGTACACACGTGTTCGTTGATTGGACCTGGTCCCCAGGGTACATCAAGCCTTTCATCCTTTTGGGGTTTGGAAAATGGGTGCCAGAGTTTTTTAGAAGAATAGGAGCACTGACTCGATACATCGGTAGGCCACGGCAAGTCGTCGTATAGACAAGGTGCCTTCAATCACATCTAAAGATGCTTGATAAAGTCGAATGTATGACACATCGCGCATGGACTTATTAACGACGAAAAACCTCTCCTGTATCATTTATCTCTTTTGATGTCATATTTTGGATTAAATATTTTTTATCTAGGGCCTAAAAGAGCATATAAACCTTAGTGATATAACCTGCAATCTGAAGAAACATATTGGTCATTCACGCCGAGGTTAAGTGAGGCTTGGCTTACTAATGTAAGACGAATTCACATAGATGTACGTAGCCAGAATACTGCAAGTTTCTAGAATCTTGTAAATGGACGTTAAAACTTGAGTAATAGATTGTAAGTTTTCTATTATCATATGCTGGAGCGGTTAGAAAAGGGTAAAGTATTTGGTTTGATCAATCCAGTTGTGATGTGCCATGGATTCGGCTCTATGTAGTCTCTACAATGACTGGTGTTGGCGTACCGACGTGCCAAATTCGTGTTATTGTCCTCCCAAACAAGTCTATTATCACATTATTGACACATAGGGGTTGAGAATCTCTTTAGATAGGGGAAAAGAATCGAACCAAAGAGTTGAATATTTCAGGGCACTTCTAACCATTGCACTACACAGATCTTAGGTGCTAACGTGGCCAAAAGTTTTGAATCTTCGTTTTTTCTTCTATTATTCTTCGTCGTTAAACTTACTATTTAATTTGGAAGGTCTGCCTCAATGTTTATCATTCTGTCACTAACGACAAATAGTTGGATATTGATTTGTTCTATTTAAGTGTTTAATGAAAAATTTCCGTTCCTGTGACAGAGCGGAGGCAATTTGCAGATAATATGTCTGATTGAAATGTACTTAGAATTTGTGCAAGAACAAGTGTAGGAAATATTGATAGAAATATAGCGGAGTATTATTGTCAGTAATGAACCGAAGGAATTTGGATAATTGGAATATTGAAGAGAATCGAACAGCAGCAACAACAATACGGCTATGTGTTGATGACGTCATTAGTTCTGTTTTTAATTGCCCTTAGAATGCTACCGTATGGTTACATTGTCAACTAGAATGTAAACATAACAGATCTGACGCGAATCTGAGTCACCTGAAAGCAAATTTCACAATGAAGGGTTAAGTGGTGGGAAGTTATTAATCCAATTAACGATGTACCGTACATTCGACTCCATTGAGATAACCAAAAGGAGAGGGAAATTTCGTGGAATCATAATTTCACAAAGTTAGCGTTTCCTTCCTGAGCAGATACGGGGTTGTCGGAAATAAGGCCTGCTCAATGATGGGTGACCTCTTGACGATTTCGCCTTCTCCAGAGGCTGAACGGGTCAAATTGACTTGTAATCTACTCAGTCAAATCCTTTCATAACCGAAGCGGAAAAATGAACAGTAGATAGATTCCATTCGCGTAGCGAACAGCTTTTCTGTTCCTTCACCGCTTTACGGTACAACCACGAGGATGCTGAGATACGAGCAGAAGTTAAAGCCCCATGTGGGCTTCGAACCCCCAGATTACCCTTATCGAGAGGTCAAATGTTCTACACCACTCCAGCCAAGGACATTACTTTTTCTTTCCCTCAACTTTTTTTCCCTATCCGTGAAATTAGCAATCCCTCGTTAATGGGAATAACGTGGAGAGCACAAATCGGTGCTGAACTCAACTAAGCTGAAGTTGCAGTTGAAATCACAATCCCATGACTGGATTTTCGAAATCACGATTCTAACCTTGGAAGATAAGGAAAAAGAATGGAAAGTTATTAAAAGTAGTCAAAAACTTTTGATTTTGACTGCACCTTCAGCTTAGTTGGATTCAGTGACGATCCATAGGTCATTCCCGTTGATGGTTAATTGCTGATAGAACCGATAAAGTAGAAAAAAGTGGATGCAAAGGCCTTGGTTGGTGTGGTGGATAGCAGGTAAGCTCCCGGCAAGCGTAATCGAACGTTCGAAGCCGTCCTGAGGTTCCAAATTCCGATCATGTCTTAGCATCCCTGTGTATGTGTGTCACATCGTACGCTGCCATGAAAAAAGGCAGGAAGTAGATAGAGGTCGAAATTAATCCTCTTGTTCTTTGTAAATCTGTCAGTTATTGGTGGAGACCAACTTCAGAGTCCTACTTTTTCTCTAAGAAGAGCTAGTTGCCTTCGATCTACAGTGGTTAACCAATGTACGACGAAGACTTAGATATGCCCTAGTTTTTCATAGATTGTAGAAAAATCCAAGCATTAGTGAGATTCGTAACAAAGACCAAAGTTCTCAAGCGGTAGCCGAAGTCAGACAAATAGGAAGAAAAATTACGAAGACAGAAGATTTATACGAAGGAACGAATCGAAATTCAAATAGGACTACTTTGTCTAAACTCCTCATCGACTTTTCTTATCTTTTCTAGTGTTACCAGATTAGTGCTTTTTCTTAGGTTTCATGTCATGAAGTTTTGTGCTGTTGGCGAGTCAAATGCAACTTTGATTTCAATTTGTCTTAATGTGTTTCTCTAAGCTATAGATTTATTTTGAACTTTGCGAGCAGGTCTTAATCGCTTCCGACTCGGATAGCACAGAGCAGAGCTGAGGAGGTGGGGATCATCAATATCCACCTCTAATGCGAGAAACATCTATGAATTGAGAAAGGGTTCGAAATTTATATCCGGAATCTAAACTGAGGGCAAACCTATTCCACGGCAGATCACGTCGAATTTTCCTGTTGTTATTTTGTCGTCGAAAACTATAATTGCAAAGTCACTCAGACGAAAGAGGCCGATGCTGCTCGTGTCCCTTCAGGGACCGTTGAGTGGCGCTGACGCATGGGTGCGACAAATTAACGGAGACTTTAGTGCATGCGAACACCTCCATTAACAGAGGAAATTACAGAGATATAAATAATGTACACAAATAGCATAAAATGTTTTAATGCTTAAAAACAAAACATTTGACTTTCTAGCATGAAGATGTTTCGAACGAAATCTGAGGAAATCGTGCTTCGTTTAATTTAATTTTTAAAGTAGTCCTACTGATTCTGATTTCGATGGTGCTTCCTCTCTGCGTTTTCTGTTTTCCCTTTTTTGCTCGTTTTCTTTTCACGATTTAACCCTCTATATCTCTCTCCATGTCTTCATTTCTTTTCTTGTTATACTCATCTGTCCGTTCTTCAAACCACCACTTAGCCTTACCAATACCTTTCTGCCAAATATTTCTCACACACCTTACCGTAATTCTCTATAGTTTAAACTGAGAACTTGTCCATGACTTCTCTTTGTAACAGATCGTTATTTTGGCTTTACGGGTTTCACTGTAGTTACCTCTTCTTTCTTCTCCTCTTCTATTCTTGTCTTTCCTCCACTATTTTACTAATTCCTATTCAATTTCTACTCGTCTATTAACACGTTATTCATTGGTTCTTATTTTTAGCACAGTGATTCGTTGTGACCATGCCTGGTTCGAACCCTCTCCCTACGAGGACCAAGCTCTCCGTACCCTCGGGGTCGGAAAATTGGTTCCCTAATATACTCACAAGGGTAGCTAACGGTTTACCCGGACTCGTCATGGATTTCTCTGAGTTTTTTTTGCGACCCGCTGTCACCTCAAACAGATGAACCCATGTCTAATCCGGCGAGAAACTGTTAACCATCGTCGTGAGTACATCCAGCCCATCGGTAAAGCCTAACAATTTCTCGGTTCCCCTTCGTTGAAAAATCAAAGGAACCGATTACCCATTAGTCCCTGTCTTGGTAGAGGCAATAAAATTACCGACTTCATAAAATAATAGACGACCATGTCATTAAATATGCTCTAGTTGACATCTACAATGCAACGAATAGAGCCGAATGTATGGCAAATCCTTAAGCGATTGATCAAGGCTGGATGCTTTACCTTTTATTCTTTATGATTGCATTTACTCCTACTATAGAATTCATCTAAAATGCGCTTTCAAAGGCCAGAAAAACAAAAGTTGTGTATTCTTAGAAATACTGACAGCACAGTGAAATCCATATCGCCAAGGTCTTACCACAAGAGGTTTTAAGTTCTGAGAATATGAGAGGCATTAGGATTTAAGGAAAACACGAATTGTGACAAGGGTATCAACAAGAGGTCTTGGAAAAATTATCGTTCTCCTCCACTACTTCTCTCATTCTCTTTGCTATTAAGTTAGGCCCAGTTTTCTCCCTATTATGCAACATTTCTTTCCTTCTCTACACAATTTCTGTCAACACTTTCATTGTCGCCCTTTAGTAGGTCGCCTTCATTTTTCCTTTATGGTATTACCAGCTCTTGTCATTTTTTCATTACTTTCACGTAACCGATTTTGACCATATATCGCTTATCGTACCGTTATTGGCTAGTCGTAGAACACTTGTAAATCAAAAAATGACCGGTAAGTAACTAGAAGAAAAAATAACCATGTGGGTGGTCGGTTGTTTGGTCTGGTTTCACAGCCTCTACTTGTTTCCTTTCATTAGAGGTTGTATTCTCCATTTACATACAAAAGAGGATTTTTCTTCGATTAAGTGCACAATGTTCATTTCCTCATGAATTCATGAACATATAGAGCAGTTGTTTTCCTTTCTGAGAAAGTTAATTTGCGTCACTCAATAAATATCCTCTCAATTTCAGGTTAGCTCGAACCAAGGACAGCCGCTGATTATATTCCGTTGTGGAAACGGTAGTATTCTTTTGAATAGTGTCAAAACTCACATCTGGTCTCCACTGAATCTCGTCCGGATCTTGAAATCCATACAGAATTTGTTTCTCTAAGCCGTAAAATGGCTGACACATCACCATCGCCAGAAGCCCGAAGACCCACACTAGAACAAGCATCTGAAAATCGACAATCTATCGACAAAAAAGAAATAGAAAAACTCGCTGGACATCATTCGATTTGCGATCAGTAGAATACTTGTTCTCTTGATGACAAGAATTACTCGGACAGAATTCCTAAGATACAATTGTAAGTAGTTTCACTAATAAGCTTCAGTGTTCATGAATATCTATATCGATTATCGATAGACAAGTAATTAAGAAATCAACACCCATATGGGGGGAAAATCACAAAAATCCTATCAATTAATTCGAGTTTGGATTCTGAGTCCTCATGATATCGATTGATGCAACGAGATGATAGTGGTGGGTTTGCCAACTTTCCGTGAAATGTGGCTTTCTGGATAGGAGTAAAGCCTGTCTGGACGTATGATCCTATGAGAATCTTTTTTGCAATTTAAAACAGAATATCGTGCAATTTTAAATAAAAATGTTTAAATTAATAGTGCACAATAGTTTAGGTGGGAATTTGTCGAGATGGATGTTCTTCTTCAAATAGGGAACTGTGGCGTCTTACGACAGGATTAGTTCTTTCTAGGACTAAGGTTGATACTCCTCTCGGTTTCCGAACGTAAATAAAAAAGCTACACCTTAGCGTGTGGGTAAATTCGTTTGGAGAGAGGATGGAACTCCTTCGTGCGCTAAGACATTTGCTGGAGCAAGTAATAGACTGGTAATATGACGATCTGCAGTTAAACTTTATGTTAATATGAAAACCCTAAGGTCTTCATGTTTGGTGGATAACACAAAAGACCGTATGTTAAACATTTTTATGCAACCGCGGGCTTCCTACAGTAATTAATACAGTAATCCATGACTGTTGACTCGAAGTGGAAATCTTCCAATTGTCTCAAGTCTAATCTAAAAACCAGTTGCATTCTAGTAGAACGATATCGTCGTGGAAGCAGAAATTCAGAGATATGAAGATACAGGGTGTTATTTACTTATTTTATTTTACGCAACCCATGTGTCATATTTGCTATACAGATACCAGCTGTTCCTGCATTCATTCCAACTTTTTTGTGTGTGAGTTCGTTCGGCTGCTGCTTGAGGATTTTCGTTTTCGTCACGAATCTCATTGAATGCTGTACGAGTCTATCCTCCCTGGATTGCCGAGATAACTGAGTTAGAACGTCTCTGTTTGGATGTTAGAAACAACTATGATACTATTTTCGCGAACTTTGACACACTTGGCACTTGAACGGCCCGTTCTCACTGGTTGTGTGGGCCTTAGCATAATCTCCACCTCTCGGAGACTTGCTAGTTAAGCCATTGTGGTTTCCTGGAATCGCGAGGTTTACTTAGCCAAAGTCTGCCCCAGGTTTCCACCACCACAGGCAGTCGCAGCCCTTGTGGATCAGAGGAAGATTTGCCATCATGCGACTTTGAATTCATGAAGGAGACAAAATTGTCAAATTGAGGTTGAGTACAGAGAAAGGGAAATGAGAACTTTTAGCAACTATTGGAACAAAGTCAGTAAAGTAATAGATTTGTGCAGCGAGTGAGGATAACCCTGAAAATATGTATGCGGCTCACAAGCCACATACAGTATATACGACTCATATGAGTGAAAATGTCACAGCAGTGTCCGAGCTGCTCAAGTAAGCAGCAGCATCATCGGATAGTTGATATTCGTCGAAAAGAGAATTTTCCGGAAAAAAACGAAAAAAGCTTATAGACGAACAGATTTTGCTCACAAAAACTGGCAGTGCACTAAAATAATGACGTTTAAAATCAGGTTCTTGTACCTGTAAATATTCAATCACACAAATAAAGTTCTAATGATGGATAAGAGAAAAAACTAGCTTAGAGAAACTCAAAGCAGGGGACTCTATGGCGCAATGTGTAATGTACGCCCCCCGGAAAGGAAAATCGTGGTTCGATTTGGACAGCGGTCCAAATTTTGCAAATATCTCAGCATCGTTGTGGTTGGTTTCGGATGGTACCCTGCCATGAAAATTGTAGTAAGCAGTAAATAAAAAAGTAAATATAAAGTACTTATTTCTCAGAAGTTACAAGTGAACTGCCCTGAATTGTTTAGATTGTTCAGAAATTAATGCAGGATTTGAACCTGTGTTATTTAAAGTGGCACACCTCATCTCGAATTAAACATTATCAATCGTAATAAATGGCATTAAAGTACATTGTTTTTTGTCCACAAGAGGAAAATTTATTTACTCTCTTCGCATAAAACTCCGAGAATTCAGAAGGCGCTGAATTCACTGAGAGCAGTTTCGGCCACGGCTTCATTTCTGAAGTATTTTGGCACAAAAAGTTCTAGTGCTTGGAGAAATGGTACTTGATAGACTAGAATTTTGACAAGTATGGCGATTGAGGGAAAGTTTCGTAGCCCACAATTCGTTCAACCCTTTCCATTGATAGGGCGAAATGCTGCAAATTCACACGGCAGGCAATTCTAGAGCTTCTTCGCTTCTAGATTTTCTTCTGATGCTACGGGGTTGTAATGCTCACATCGAGCTCTTCATCTAGCTCTCGATTACTTGCATTTGCGTTTATTTCCACAAAACCCACAAATTCATCGTTGTCAATAGTTGGACTTCCACGACCTCTTTCATGCTCAAAGTCGAACTCGCCACGACGAAATTTTCTAAACGAACGTCGCATATTTCCTCCCAACGGTTTACCGCCTCATCATGGCTTGGAGGTTTTCCTGAGTGTCGGATTGCGATGTACAGCAGGAGGATTCATCCCTGGCAGAGTTTCCCAAGCTGAGAAGGAGTTCGGCGTTTCCATCAGCATGCCTAGCTAAGAGTAAACCAATACCAGGATCCACCACCGTCTTGGTATCAAAGTCGCATGGTGGTAAATCTCCCTCTGATTCACAAGGGCTGTGACTGCCTGTGGTGGTGGAGACCTTGGGCAGACTTTGGCTAAGTAAACCTCGGGATTCCAGGAAACCAAAATGGCTTAACCAGCAAATCTTCGATAAATGGTGATTATGCTGAGGCCCACACAACCAGTGAGAACGGGCCGTTCAAGTGCCAAGTATCAAGTAAGTAACGTCGCATATTTTAACATCTTTTTCGCCCAGTGTCTCATCAGTGCTTCGAGTCTTTTGCTGCACAACAGCCGAGTTTGAATTCGTAGAACTAGACTAGTCTAAATTGCTATTTTCTCCTCACAAATCTTAGCCTTTAAAATTTGTTGGAAACACAGTTCGTATCGTCATTAATTTTTTGAGGGCAACAATGCGTAAAATGAGCCTTTTAACAACATGGAATAGCGCATCATTCAAGAAAGATTGTTGCTAAAACGTACAACAAAAGCAAATATTGAAAAACCTGCGCTAGATTCGGAACAACCTAACGCTTTGTTTATGCGGTGGTTTGCTCTCGGAACACCTAGTCAATTCGGCTACGTAAAGCGTACCCTTTATCGGGGATAGGACTAAATGCTTGTGAGCAGAATGAGCGCAGTACTTAATGGTGTTCGCGTCGTTTTCTTGTTCAGCAATCGCAAGGTTCTTAAACAGCATACATTTACTTCCGTAGAAAAACACAATACAATACAACGCTAGCTGACGTTTCGGCAGTATCGCCTTCTTCAGAGCCTGGAAGGGTATGCTGATATACAATCTACTAGGCCAAACGCTTCAATAACACTTACAAAAAGGCGAAAAACTCTTTGGTAATTACACGATCAACAGCTTCTCGAAAAACCCACCACTTTTTCGTGACTTCCAATGAGGAAGTTTAGAACAGCTTATTATAGTCGCATATGGTTGATGACTCGCCATATGGTTGACATCGAGTCATCAACCATATGCGACTGTAATCAGCTGTTCTAAACTTCCTCATTGAAAGTGACGTAAAACACGGCTCTGAAGAAGGCGATACTGCGAAACGTCAGCTAGTGTTGTATTGTGTTGTGTTTTTCTATGGAAGTAAATGTATGCTGTTTAAAAACCTCGCAACTGCTGAACAAGAAAACGACGCATTCATATTCCAATGGCGAGGTTAATAGAAAGTCGATCTTGGGAACTATTAATGGTGTTTGTTTGAGACAACTCATAATCAGTAGGAATTACATGTGATAGAGGCGAAAATAGACGAAATAAACAAAATTTTGTGGGCGTGGTTTGCGAGTTGACGAGATTGTGATGGTTTTCATAGTTGTTGCCTCCTTCTGCAGCCACGCCCATTTCAAAGCTGCTCTAATGGTAATTGATTCACACCTCCGTCATGATAGGGAACTATTAGACTCTATGGATATTACGTATGTAAGAAATTGAATAAAAGACAATTCATAGTGTAAGGATTTTAAGAGTAAAAGCGTAAAGGTAAAATGAAACAAGACCGAATTTCTTTTTGAACCGCACTTTTTTGAACAATGGAAATTTTCAAGAAAAAGTTGAGGATTTTAGAGTAATAAATTCAGTGTCTACCGTCTATTGAAATTTCTTAGAAGAGAGCGAAATGTTAAATTACGAAAGCGGCGATGAAAAGTTTGAAAAACACTAAAATTTCAACCTCATGTAAGCTCATCAAAAAAGAACACTAAAATTCCTTCAACGTTGAGATGACAACAGGACAAAGAGATCTCGCCTAAGGTGGAGATTGAACTAAATATCTTGCAAACGTGACTGAGAATGCATTCTACTACGCTACACTTTCTTCTATGGTTGGCCTTTCTATACCAACGTATAGAAGTTTTTCAGTTTAAAGCATAGCCTATAAATCCGGCACTCCCACTAACTACTTGGAACCAGAGTATTTTGCTACCAACTACTCAGAAAACGGGTTTTATGTCCTCAAGATTCAAGTATTCAGAAACAATCGAGCAACGTTTAAAGAAATAAGGCATTAAGGGGTTCAGGGTTGTCGAATCGGAAAAGAATAAAGTGCAGAAAAGTCTTTTCTAAAGAGAAGAAACACTCAAAGTATAGTAAAAGATTATATCGATAGAAATCCACGATATAACAGAATTTATTGTAGATTGATGTCGTACTGAAACTTATAATAAATAGCAAAAGTTATTGC